TCAATATGAAACTCTGATTCTGTCCTAAAGAAACCTCTGTTACGATTTTTCTACTGTCAATTTGTTACGAGAGTCAGAAAACAAAAATCGTGACCAGTTGAAATTTTCCCAATACTTTTGTATGCTCAAAATCTGAATCATTATAGCAAAAAAAATGTAAAATTCAATTTGAAAGAAAAGTTTTATGAGAACGCTTTCATCTACCCCAGAACTTATTATCATGCTAGCCTACAAATACAATATTTATCATGTTTTTTTAGTTTATTGAATAAATCAAAACGAGAATACATCTACTTATACAAGGAAGGAAAATAAAGCCAAAAATTGTCCGTATGTACCAATGATCCTCGCGTGAATAATCGTTCCACCTTAGCACAATTGCGTCGTGTTTCTTCTCTTCTAAAGTTTTTTGTTACAGCTTTTAAGTAATCAACAAAGACTTCAAAGTTCGTGAGACAAGGTATGTATGCCTTTGCTTCATTTAGAAATTGTTCAACATAATCTCTATGTGCATATTTCACATCAAGTATAGTCAGATGTGGATATTCAATAATTGAGTATAATTGACTATTGTCAGATGAAAATGTCATACGACTATTTAATGTCTGTGATTTCATATTAAAAATACGTAAATGCTTCAGTGATGGAAACGATCGGGCAATTCGCATGAAGAATTCATGTTCGAATGGAACAGTATCTCGTACAAGTAAGTACGTAACATAACTGAAAACAGTATTTGGATATTTATTGCCAAGATCTTCGAGATAATCAAACTCGAAAGGAAGTGAGAAAATTGAGCATGCAGCTTTCTTCTTAGTAACATAACTGACCATACTGACTGCATGTTGTTGTCCAATATCTGTTAATGTTTGTTGAATATCTTCACTAGTTAACTTGTAGGATAAATCAACTATTTCCACATAAGCACAAATACAGAAAGTGAATGAATGAAGCTGTGGCATACAATCAAAAATATCGTGTTGAATATCAGTACCATCAATGACTCTATTTCGACGTCGTACAGCAATATTTAGAGTTAATTTTTCCAGATTTGACATACGACGAAAAAGTGATGAAATTTTATCATATGCTTCGAATAGATCGGACACTTTTAATGAGAAATATTTCAGGTTACATAATTTATCCTACAAATAAAAAAGAAATCTTTCTTTGATAATCAACAAATCTACCTCACATTCATCATTACTTTACAAATGGTGTCTGTTCTATATTCTGTCGGTTAATGACCACAAATGAAATATCTATCGGATCGATATCCCCATTTTAGAAAATGAAAAACGAGTGTTAAAAGATCAATTGAAAAGTTTCAAAGAAAATTTGAATCGCATACTCAATTATTGGAAGAATTGTTATAGAAAATATTCCATTCCATTCCATGCTGATGGTTATTAACATAGGATAATATTTAATCAATCATGAAACAGAGCAGTCTAGTTTACAATATGAAACTTAGCAGATAAAATATGTAGCTATAATTTCTAGCAAATTTCCTTGATCTTCTTATCAGATTCAAATTCCTAGTAGCTATAAACTTAACGTCGATGATTTTGATATATTCATCAACACTTTTCAGTTTTTTCCTCCTCTCAACATGACACTTAACCATTCGATCTCTTATTTGATTCTTATGAAATCAATCATAACTGCATTAAAATAGTTACAATCTTCATGTCATAAATAAAATTATTTGTAAAAACTTACCATATTATGAACAATTTCTGAAGAGCTCTTTACAGTATAGACAGTAACACACAATGTTGTCAATTTTCTAAGTCGACCATCAAGTAAATAAAGACAATCATCAAAATTATCGACATGGATATATAAATGAGTAAGAATCGGAGATGAAAAAGTAGTAAATGGCAGATCACGAAGTGATAAACCTGGATATGATGACCCAAAAGATCCTCCCGTAATACTTAATTTTTTTAAATTTTCGAACAAGGTAAAGATAAGATTATATACATATAAACTATAATTTTCCAACGAACGTTGTTTTTTGTATTTATCATCATTGATAAGAGTCAGAACTGTAATTTGTTCTCGGAAAATAGATTGAAGTGATAATTTATCTAAACGACAAAAAACAATGAAATGAAATATACTGTAATCTATTCTATTTAACACTTTTAGTATTTCTCAACTAATCAAATTCATATTAAATGCTTACTTAAAAAATAATATAAAGCATCTTCTTGGAAATGAGAAATTTTAAGTTCAGTTAGATTCGGATAGTCGGTCGCAAGAAGAATACGTTCCATAAGAACTGGATTAAAAATAAAATATTTCACATTATGATGAATTCTTGGTAATATATCGATGCAGAATCGATCGATTAAAGAATAATGATAAATGCGGGGAAATTTCAGAATGTTGGTGAAAGTGTTTTCTTGTGCCATAATGTTAAGTCTATTATTTATATCCAATAAAGAATAAAGTACATCAATATTGTTCAACTTTTTCAAAATAATAAGTAATATTTCATCAGGTAAGTCCAGAAAATGGATATTTGATCGGTTCATATTTTATTATGACTGTGATGCTTTTCACTACGCCAGAGCTATATATACGCACATTGTTCATTGTTAGCATCTCACCATTTTGACCTCAAACAGACTGAAAAAAATAAGACGAAATAACCAACATGATTGGTCTATTCCAAGTTAAACCATCTTTTTTAGACAATTTATTCGTCAATTTAGTCTTAATTCGTTTTATTTTTTTCATTCTGTTTGGGTGTTTTGCGCCATTGTCAAATTGAATAGGTCAACTTATTCATAAACGTAAAACATTGATGTATCGTTCGATCATAGTCATTCATTGTTGTGTGTATTTTCGAAAAAAATTGAAGGATGACATTGAGAAGAAGAAAGGATATTTTTTTCTTATAGCAGAATCAGTTGAATTTCATTCGTATACTATTTCTTTTACATTCGAGATTTTTCCAATTTAAAATCAAATCTGAAATTCTTGCGAAAAGACAGTTGTTTGATGGCCTCAGTACTTTGTGTTAGGAGGAAATTTCACTACATGTTATAATAATAGAAATGTATAGATCTGAATGTGATCTAAGTACACTACACACACACACATGTGTATTGTGAATCTGACGTTTTTTTGTCCACTTGAAAACAGGGTTAAGCCATTTGATATGTAGTATAATCTGGTCAATGTTGAACTAAGATGTTTTCATTATAGAAATTTGGAAATTTTGATATCTCAACAAAACTGAAAGTTTCAAGTTATTCTACAGGTCACTTCAACTATATATAGGCAAAGTTTTCGTCTCGAAATTTTGTCCTTTGGTATATATCTAAGGCTTATAGGGGCGAATCCGTTTAAGCTTTTTTTAGCCATTTCGAAATCTGTTTGTAAGTCGAATATAAACTTAAACGGTAAGTTGTATCAATTGGGATAATTCCTTTATGAGCGACTATTTGCTTTTAAATATGCGATACATTTTAATTGTTGGATCACGAAGCCTCTATATTTAGGCTTTCAAAATTTGAATAGAACGCGAAGGTGGAATATAGTAAAATAGACTTTTTCAATATTTGTTGTGTTCTGACATAGATGTCACTGATAATAGTATTGCATATTTAAATCAAGT